AAGGTGCCTTATATTAGTTACAAATACGAACAGGTTTACTCTGAGAACGAAGAAGTTTTTACTAATGTAGAAACTGAACTGAGAACTGAACCTGCTTGGTTGATGCAAGGACAAGTAGCTTTACAGTTAGACAGGACAGCCACTACACTCAGCACTCTGCATATCCGATACCTAACTGATGCTCAAATCATTTTGCCCAGTCCTGATGAAAAAGAAGACAGGCATAATTGGGCCATAATTTCAAGAGACAATAGGACAAGATTGGAACATACTGTTTTAATTGGTGGGACTGTGGAGCTAGACTGTCAAGCATTTGGAGAGCCTATTCCTGTGATTGAGTGGATATTAGCTGATGGGAGCAAAGTTAGAGCCCCATATATTGGTGAAGATGGAAGAATAGTAATAGCCAAAACTGGAAAATTCACACTACGCACAGCTGACACTTTTGACACTGGGCTTTATCACTGCATAGGTACAAATTATAATGATGCCGATGTACTAACATTTAGAATTACCGTGGTTGATCCTTACACAGAACTCAACAACATAAATGGGGCTCAGCTATCTGCATTTATTGGTGACACACTCTACCTCCCCTGTCAGTCTAGTGGTGTCCCAGATGCATCTATTATTTGGATCCTACCTGACCACGTGGCTCTTCATCAGTCTGCAAGAAACAAGCATGTTTTTCACAATGGGACGTTAAAAATACAAAGGGTGACAGAAAAAGATAGTGGCCATTTTAGATGTGTAGCAGCCAATAAGTATGGTGTTGATTTTTTGATTTTCAACATACTCATTAGAAGGAATGAGAACAAATCACAGAAACAAAATGCAGCTCCAGAAGTGGAGGGAGATGAAGATGGATCTGGTCATAAGGTGCTTGATGCTGTTACAACAGATAAGAACGTTTTAGCTCCAGTGCGAACTTTAGTAACAAACCAAGTAGGTACAAGCTCTGCACCTGGAAATCAACCCATACAGAATGCAAACAGGAATAATTATAGAGAAATTACTTACAGGCGCAATGGGGACAAAAAAAGACGGCTTCAGGGCCATAGGAGACAATTTACTCCCTCCACTAGGAAAATTGATCCAAAACACTGGGCAGCATTTTTAGAAAGAACAAAGAACTACTCCACACTGACAAGAAAACAAGAAGATGCCACAACTAAAGCACCAATATCAGTTTATCCATCCTCAAAAGCACCTATGTATGGGGAAGAAACATCCAGGGGTGCTGTACCTCCTGAAGAGGAATTTATTACACTAGCAACTAAAACACCTAGTATACCAATTTTCATTAAAGCATCAGTAGATGTTGTAACTTCAGAACCTGAAACAACTTCAGGTAGCACAAACTCCAAAACAACTTCTGTTACAGTTACAGGGGCAGTAAGTCCAATAATCAGTCCGTGGATTACACAGACTGCTACACCTGAGAGCAAAAAAATGCATACAAATCCAAAATATGGGGTCACAAAACTGAAATCACTGGAGACTTCTCAACTTAATCAAACACCATCAACTAATATGCATTCATTAACTACATCCAATCTAGTGAGTGGCACAACTCAAGGCTTTGACAATGAACACAGATTCATCACTTCTGGGGAAAGCAATCCCTATTTAAAAATCAGATCTACAACATCACTGGCAGATCTTACTGAAGTTCCCAACCTTGTAACTTCCCACAGCACAGCTGAAAAGCTCAGTATATTCACTGAGTCAGTCAATAAGACTTCAACTAAATCAGATCATCAGATATCTGTAGTGACAGTCAGTGAATCAAACAATGAATTTGGTCACATTTACTTTCATAGTACTCAAAAACTAATAGCTCCTAAACTACCACTGGGCTCAACTATTATTACTCATCAACAGATTCAGATAATAAGAGATGTTACAACACACACACCACAGTTGAGACGACGTTATGGAAGACGGAGGAAAATTTCTGCTAGGAGACGAATTGTCAGACCAGATCAAATTCCAAGCTTCAGAGGGCACAGATATAATTTTGTGAAATCAGAATCAATGAGAGAAAGTACGACTATGACTCCAGATATACAGCTGGATGCAAGCTGCCAATCATGTTCACCTATCTTAACTTCTTCCAGCAGTCCTTCTTTTACCCATCATACAAACATGCCCACTCCTTCAAGAACAGATATACCAGTGCTTGTGTCAGAACAACTAACAACAAAAAGTGAGAACATAGTAGTCCTTATTAAAGGGAAAAAGAGACCTATTGAAGAAAGAGAAAACACAACTCCTACAATAATGCCTTTCGATATAGAAAGCATGCAGGATCCTTCACTGAAGGAATTAGAGGCTAGTGCACCATTGCAAACATACACCAATAGAATGCCATCTTTCAGTACCCGTCATTCAGCAACTGCAATCCCTCCCCTTAGGATAGCTGTGGAAACTTCTCCTACTACAGGCTACAAGATATCTTCCACTGCTGCATCAATCCCACACAAAAATAGAACATCTTCCCAAATTTTAAAAGGAAAAATTACTTGGCAACACCTCTTTGGAAACACACACATTGAAAAAGAGCTACTGAAGAAACCATCACAAATACAAACAAGTACAGTGCCATCAGTGACAGTAACAACCATGTTTCCCCAAACCACAGAAGCTTTATCCATCTACAGAGTTTCTCCTTTACCTGTAACAACTATTTTAGCAAACAGAAATCAAGCTGATGATTTCCTATCTTTAACTAAATATAGGAATGATGGCAGGAGTGCATCAGATAAATATATTCCCACTACATCCCTTACTAGTGCAGAACTAGCATCTTATTCCAGTCTTACACCTGATGTAAATGAAGGGACTGCAACAATGCCAATGCCAGTGTTTAAATCTACAACTGCTGCCCCAACTGAAATTAAAATGACTAGAACCAAAACCAGACTAGGAAGGAGGAGAGGACATAGAAGGAAAAAACCTCAAAAGAAGATTTTGATATCACAAATCCAAAACATTTTTACAGGTCACAGCACAAGCTTAGCAATGAATACTTCACTGCCTTTCCTGACAACAGCTAAATCTTTAATTAAATCCACCATACCTGCACCCACAACATCTCTTTCTAAGAATACAAGTGTAGTGTCAGTTACAATGCCTCAACCACAGATTCTTAGCACAATTGACATAACTAATGTTTCATCCATAACTACCACACAGGCACCAGTGAGAGATACCATACATGAGAACACTAAAGCTGTTGAAGTAGCATCTGAAACGTTCATTACTCAAATGCCTACCACTACAATCCCAGCCATGTCACAGTTTAAGCCTTTCAACACCCCCACTATATTACCTACTTCATCCATTGTAACATCTGAATTGATATATTTTGAACAACTTAAAAAACAACAACATATGGGAGAGAAGGTCATTCAGCAGAAACATGTGGCAGAGGCAATATTTTCCAATAAAGCTGGATTAAGTACGAAAACTCCTGTTGCAACTATCCATGCCATCTACCCGAGCATACAGCATCCTACCCCACTAGAATCCTTAATAACAGTAACATCACCTGCTCCCTGGCAGAAAAATAAGTTTTGGCATAAACTCTCTCCAGATGTTCCAGAAAGGGGCAAAACATTAATGGTTAATACTCTGAGTGTATTAAAATCTCCACAGAGCTCTACTCAATATGCTACACCATGGGAAAAGGAGAAAGACAATTCTGTGAAAAGCTGGTCTGACAAGAGAGCAGATCAAGAAGCTACTACTGCCAATCCTGTAGCCTTGGACTTCTTTTATATGAATAGAGTGGAAAAGCCCAGAATTATTGGAGGAAAATTGGCTGCTTTTACGGTACCAGCTAACTCAGATGCCTTTATCCCTTGTGAAGCTACTGGTAATCCTCCTCCAACAATACACTGGACTAAAGTATCATCAGGTAATCTTTATGAAACTTTTAAAAAAATGTCTTCCTCTACTATTCTTTAGCAAACAGTCAAATGCTAGGCACACCATGCTATAGTTAATGAGGGCTGTAAGCCCTGCTGATAGTAATAGTCGGGCACAGCGTACACACTGCAGGGTGACTTATTGCAATTATAAAATAGGCATCTGTAGGAAAAAAGTAAGTAGTAACATAAAAAGATATATTCAACATTACTGTGCTATCTGTATGGGAAAAAATGTAAATAATTGCCATACATTAACAATAGCTTCTTTCTAGTAATACCTATATAAAAGATTATCCCAGTTAGAAAACCACTACACAAAGTGACTAGACATATACCAAAGTACTAGCAACCATCACTGTCTTACTGGAAGATCACTTATACTTAGAAATTATTTTTTGCTGGTTATAGCAAGACTTCTTTTCATTGCTTATGTAAATACCTACCCTGAGGAATGCAGAATCAAAAACTTGACAGATAGTTGGCTGTGATTTTGTATGCAAATATTACTGTATTAGGCAGAAAGAAAAAGGAACGGCTCTTGGTGAGATATATTTTGTTCTCTTTATTTAATAGGAACTGATGTGTCAAAAAGCAAACGTGACAACAGATTTGAAGTATTTGCCAATGGTACCCTCTCCATCCAGAACGTGAACATTCAGGACCGCGGACAGTACCTGTGTGTTGCTGCCAATCAGCATGGCTCAGACCGGCTCCTGGTCACTTTGTCTGTGGTGGCATATCCACCCAGGATCCTAGAAGGCAGGTCAAAAGTAATCACTGTCCATTCTGGAAAGCTTGTGGCAATGAAGTGCAGAGCTGAAGGCAGACCTGTCCCTACCATTTCATGGATTCTGGCAAACAAAACATATGTCTCAGAATCTTCTGTAGAAAGTAGGCAAGTTTTCATACAACCAGATGGCACACTAATAATCAAAGAAGTCTCTGTATATGACAGAGGGCTTTACACATGTATGGCTAATAACCCAGCTGGTACTGATACACTGGCAGTAAAACTACAAGTGATTGCAGCACCTCCCATCATCTTGGAAGAAAAGAGACAACATATTGCAGGAATAATGGGTGAAAGCTTGAAACTCCCCTGCACTGCAAAAGGAAATCCTATCCCAAGCCTTCACTGGGTGATCTTTGATGGAACAGTAGTGAAGCCTTTGCAATTTATAAATGCCAAACTTTTCCTTTTTTCCAATGGAACCCTCCATATAAGGAACTTGGTTCCTTCTGACAGTGGGAATTACGAATGCATAGCTACGAGCTCTACCGGCTCAGAGAGAAGGGTGGTAAATCTCATGGTGGAACAGAGAGATACACTTCCCAGAATAGAAACAGCATCTCAACAAATAACTCAGTTGAATTTTGGGGATAGATTGCTTCTGAATTGTTCAGCTACTGGGGAACCGAAGCCCAGGATAATCTGGAGGCTGCCATCCAAGGCAGTTGTTGACCAGGTACACAGGTAGGATTATTTTGTTGTTTTGGGCTTGTTTTTTGTCAGAGGTAGAAGGATGGGTTCCAACTTTAACTTCTTGCTTTATTTTTCCAGGCTTGACTAACCTTTCAAACATCAAATCACTGAAATATTTTTCTTTTCTTGGCTAGAAGTGCTTTATGTGCTATAAATTTTGCATAACTGAGGCCAAATTAGGTCTTAATTTGTAGCAAAAGTGAGTCGCCTGTAGTGACAGACTATGTAGATGTATTATTGCGCTTCTAATATATTAATGATGTAAAGCGAGCTCTGTCACAATTGGGTACAGCTCTGCTGAATCAGCTCAGCTGAACTTAGTGGCAAATTTGCATCATCTTGTTCCATCCTCATGTAGGGCACAAATTCTTAACTCATGTAGTTGTTTACTAAATGTTGGACCTTAATATAAATTGACGTTGTCTGTACATTTGAGTTTTACAGTACACTTTTGCATACCGTGATTACCAAAGAAAAGAGATTTGGCATACATCAAATTCATAGTTTCATAGTTTCTAGGGTCGGAAGGGACCTGAGCAGATCATCTAGTCCGACCCCCTGCCATGGCAGGAAGAGCACTGGGGTCAAAT